GCTAATATTCAGCTCTTATCACCAACCATTACATAATATACTATTATTAAAATACCTTATGTCGCAACAAATTTTTAAATCTCCTAATTTATCAATAAAACAATTATTTTTCTGCCATTGCAGCCTTAAGAGAATATGTGAATGAAAGTGTTTTTAAAAAGTATACATCCTTAAATGACTTTCAAGAAAAATTTGCAAAATCATATGAAAATCTTCTTAGAGACCAAGGAATGAAGACTTTCAGATTTGAATGCCAGGTAACAATATAGTTCTGTATTTTGTGGTTGAGATATTTTTTCCCGGAAGAATTTTGTTTGTTGAATCTAAGTTAACTCGCATTTGGTTTGTTTCTGCCAATTATTTTCAGAAAGCTGTAAATACACCTGTTAATGCAATTTCTCCAATCAGTGCATCACATTTGCAAGATAAATTCCTAAAATTACATAGGCTGTTATCTGGTCAAGCTGTTGATTCTGGATCTGGAAGATCCCATTTTTCGGCTTCCCAACATCCGCAAGGGATTGCTTTTTGTAAAGATCTTCTGGCAAAAAAATTTGTGGTATTTACATTCATATTTTTTATATACTATGTATATTTATCAGTGCATGTAGAATAATGAAAAAGAGGTTTTTATTATGGGGTACATGTTTTCCACTGCTAATTTTAAATTACAATAATGAAAAATAATGGTTATTAGTAGCAGTTTCTCATATTCTTAATAACAATTTGAATGAAATGTTTCATATTATAACTCAAAATACTAATAACACATTCAAACCCAATACAAATTGTAGTAGTAATGGACTACTTACCACCTGATTTTGTTTGAATACTAATAGTGAATTTCACTTCTAGGGCCAAGGTGACACTACAGTATCCTGCAAACCAGAAGCTGCATTTGCCATTGCTGCAGTTGTAGTATCATTGTGGGTAGAATTTCCAGATTTTGGGCAACTTTTGTTGGCACATTTCTACAAAGAATGCCCTTACCTTTTGCCATTCTTTAAACCTCGCTTGATTGATCAGTCTGATGTGGATTATTACAAGTAATTCAATTTTTTCATAACATTAAAAATACTTGCTTCACTAAATTCTTTGAGTAATATATGTAGTATAGAGAAGATTATGTAATTCCGCAGAAAATCAATTTCAAGATTTCAATGTAAATACACAGTTTGGGGGCTCAATACCGAAAGTGTTTCTTTTCAAACCATGCCTGATTGTTGCGTCAAATTTTTCCCAAACGGAATGAACCCCTGTCAATCTGGCATCGCTCAAGGCTATGTGATTTTGAAAAAATTCATTATATTTTGGGAGTACTTTACATGACTTGGGACTTTAGGACTTTTTCTCAAAAACGGCTTCAACGCAATTTTTTTCAATTTCTTGTGAGAGTATAATATTAACACAGTGAAATATGCTTATAAAGATGGTGTAGGTCCTATTTTAACTTTAACTCTAAAATTTCGAAAATTGCAAAAGGTTAAAATTTTTTCGGTATCTCCCTTACAACTACAAAATTGAAGATTAGGTATATCTTTTTGAAAATTTTAGTTTTCACACAATACTGCATGCAATATGAAAAAATAATAAAAAGATTTCCTCGAAAACTACTCCAAATTTTTTCTTCTAACTTTTGGTAGGGATAGTGCTAAATGCACTCTATAAGATGACGTATATGCCATATTATTCTATTCTTTAGTTTTTTCAAATATTAGAAAAAAGGAATTATTTTGACATCTTGCACATCATTAATATTTACATTAACAGCGGTTTCTTTTAGAATATTGAATTTGCTAAAACGAGATTCAAATGATGTGTCATAAAGTTTCTGGAAAATTTTGTATTTACAGTAACATTTAAATGGCTTTTTCTTCAAAAACTCCAAAGTTTTCAAAACAATTTCCATGTCAAACCAGGTGTTCTATAATTTTCTTAAAGTAATATTTCGGTTCTATAATTAGGAAGTGAAAAAGTTGAAAAAATAAAAAATGTAATTTAGGCGGTGAATTTTGGCAGCTGGTAAGAGGATGGGGCAGAATCGAAAAGCTAGTCCAAAACTAATAGTATGAGAAAGTCTGTGCCATTTTGTTCAGGCAGCAATTTGAACTTCTTTACTAACCTAGATGGAACATCAGAGTAACATACTTATGGGATATTTCTTTTATGATCTACATTATCTAATTCAGTTCACCTTAAGTTCCATGTCAGGCATTAAGTTAAAAATAAGCAAGCAGAAAACAAGCGATCACAGGGACACTGAAGGTCATTACAAACATAACCTGTGTGCAAGTGAGCACTTGTTAATATTTTGTAAGTAATGGATTGTACTCCATGCACACCTCCTTCTGGATAATTGGAGCATTTAAAAAAACAAAGTTTATCTACAAAGACTTTCTGAACGTTCTGGAACACAAGTTCTAATCCACAAATTCTGCAGTCATTAATAATAATCACAACCGACCATCTTTCTCTTTTGGAAACTAGATAACTCTTTAGTAGGAGCCAGATTTATGTATTCTATACTAATCCATTATATGGAGATTTTTTTAAGTAAAAGCTTCAAAAGTATACCCTAAAACATTTATGTCGCATATTTGATACCATGAAAAGGGAAGGCCCTTTACGTTTCACTCACATTTCTGGGGGAAACCCCATTGTGAGTTGGGTTGGAGGCAATGTAGGCACATGCAAGACTTCATCAGCTTACGTATTATTAAGATGGACTCTATATATAAAGACCAATTATTTGAAATGATCGTGATTTGTCAGTTAAGTATTTTGCATAATACAAGTACAGAAAATTGATATTAGCTACAATGTTCATTATAAATGCAATATTTCATAAAAGAACATTAACATGACAGATTCAGAGAAATTAACTAAATGTGTAACGATCAATATTTTCAAGAATATAATTAGTAATTCAAAAATGTAATGCTTATAACGGCAAAAGATGGCAGGTTAAGGGGGATAATTGACATTAATCCACATTCAGAGATCAGAGCAAAAAAGACATGCATTTGCATTGAAATCTGGTGCCCAGTGATATTTATCTGACAATGAAAATAATTACTATCTTTTTTTAGGTCTCTTGGCTATCGTTACTCGGAGACGGGCGAGGTTGAGAAACAAGATAAGTTCCTAAAGAGAATGTCAGGAATAATGCATTTGTATTGTGCCATAATAGTAACTCCATTGAAACGTCATTCGACTAAACCACATCCTGTTGGTATAAGTGAAGCTTGGAGATGGATTGCAAATGTTATCAATTTGGGTATGATTTTAAAATACAGTATAAGACCTAAAAATGTTTGGGTTTAATTTTATTGCTAATGTGTGTTAGGGGATTTCTGCACATGGGAATGTTCTTGATATTGTTGTCTTTTATTAACACATTAAGACAACCTGATAGGAAGTATCTATGGTATTTTAGCATGTTGAAATGAATATTTTTAAATGAGCTAAATAGCAAAACTGAAATATGCCCTCTTTGTATTACATTGTCTGTATTCCTTTCTTTTCAGATCCACGGCCAGATATTTGTGCCACATTATTATATGAATTTCTAGAAGTAGCTGGACACTTCATGTATAAATACTACGGACAAATTTTTCAGAAAGTTCTGCATTTGTTGTGTACTGAGTACTATCATAAATTAGAAGAAGTAAGAGTATATTTTAATTTCTTTTCTAACACTTTCCTATCTGTGTGATGTAAACCAATTCTATTTCTACAGGTGACACCCAATGCTGCTCGTGGCCCTGTTGCAAGATTAGAATCCTTTCTCCAGAAGATTTTGAAGCAAGGCAGAATAAACCCTCCGACTGGTATACTTCCAGTTGATTTTTGGTGATTATTTAAGGAGGCATCTTAATTGTTAATGATGTGGTTGGATCATTGATTACGTGCTGTTTTGTACTGTACATATTAGAAAAAATACAATACATAATTTTGATTTTATTTTACATATTTTGTGCAGCAGTGTTCTACAACTGCATCATACAAGTTTGGCTTACAGTTTTTGCTTTCAGTTTCCAATGTTTCATAACGGGGCTGATGATCAGTACACTAAGCAAAATATTGCCAAAGAAAAGTAACAAACTCGCAGTAAAATAAAAATATTTAGAGACATTAGCAGCTCTAATAACTAACGTTTATCAAGAAACAATCACAAAACTCTTTACATTCAAGAAATCTTGACAACTAAACCAGAAAATGCACATACACGTCCCGTAATATTAACATTACTATGCAGTTTTCATCCATCACCTCATTACTCATAAAAATCTCATCCCCTTGTGCTCTGATTCTTATGTGCTGTACAATTTCCATGTGTATATATATATATAGTCTTACAAACAACCTCTTCTCCTTCAAAAGATAGTTATGGATTAAGTTATAAAATATCAGCACCAATACTTTACAAAATTGTTCAGACAAATAGCTCTTATAATTATATAAACAAAAAATTAAGTATAATTTACAATAAATCATTTTACATTTTAATTAAAAAAATAAGGAAAAGTCAGGAACATTCTCGGAATACTCACTATTGGAAAGATAATTGTATAAACCATGCTCATCATTCACATATGACAAGCATACACATGTGAAATAAGCCAGATCCAACTTGACAATTAATACTACTAAGACCTTAACAGGTAGGCTTTACACGCAATATGACTGGAACACTAGTACATGGAAGAACTGCCAACTCAGTTATTACAGCAGTTACCATATTTGGTGGAGTTACATCATAGGTTATATTGAGAGGGGTTAAGGTGTTTATTGTTTTCCACTTGGAGAGGGGGTGGTCTCTGGAACACGAATCTGCTGTAACTAATTCATCGGGTGCACCTGATAACAAACAGAAATTTTCTCAATCCAAAAGAATAGATCTCTGAAGTATGAATACCAATCTACACTACTTGCTACCTTCACATACACTACTACTTACTATATCGAGGTGATATCAACATTATTAAAACTTATTGCTCAGTTATTAGGTTTATGAATTGAAAGTACATCACATTCCTAAATAAATGCATAGCTATTATTTAATAATTCTCATAATTTTACACAATGTTTTATAACTGAAGTTTGAAATATGTGCAAGTGATAGAGATGATCAAAAAGGGATATTTTCAGGGGATCATGAATTTCATCAAAATCTTTTCTAATCTATGTAAGATGTCTAAGAAAACTAATGAGTCATACAATACCTAGTTCATTATACACTATAGAGTCAGTCTGAACTCTTTCACTGAATTTATGAGTTTCGCAGCACACAAGTACTGGAACGTTATAAGAACGAGCCAGCAAAGCAATTTGAGATGAGCCTGCTCGTGACATTACATAGCCATTAGCAAGTATTGCATGAGCTCCAAGAAAAACCCTTGTAGCCTGTTAACAAACAGCAATATATTATAATCAACACGATTCAATAATATATAATATTCATCAATGAAAAATAATAATGAAAATACAAATGCATGGATTACCTCTCTCATCATGAAACTAGCAGCAGTAATAAGAACGTATGAACAATGTAATCCATTTTCAACTAATCTTCGAAGCATTTCCTTTCCTTCCCGCCATGGTCTTGCATCAACTACAATTACCCTAAACTTTGTTCCACTCTTGTGCGCTTTAATGAGAATTCTCTGAAGTAAAGATGAGCTACAAAAAAAACAAATAAATTTTTTTTAATGAGCATGTTATGCCCTGTCACAACACAGTCCAATGTAAAGTGTCGAGATAACATAAAATTATGATCCTCCAATTCAATAAATTTTGGAGTCATCCAATGGTAACCATGGACAGGCATCCATGGAGTCACTCCCACACAAAATATTATTACAGATATGACACCTGTTGCAGTCAGAGATGGTACTGGTGGTTGAAGAGATTGCAATGCAAGGGTAGTCGGAAGTTCAACCTTTACATCATTTGTGATCCCGCTGATAAAGATCTGAATGATCTCCCTTTAGATTCAAATGTAGTTTCCGATAAGTAAAGACTGCATTCAGTCACCACAAAAGTATGTGAAAATTTTCAACCTATTTATTCACTAGAGGAGATTTATACTTTCAACTTGTTAGCCAGCGGTTCAGTCCAATGCGAACATTTCATGACAATCATCAACAGTAATTCTATTACCACAATAGTGTCTCAGAGACATTTTTTAAAATTTACATATGTACAGCCTATAAGTTTGAAGTGGTTTTCTGAGAATTTTTAACTAATTCTTACTATTTAGTGAAAATAAAATTTCAACTTGTCTAAATCAGTAGAAAATTGTCTTGATGAGAATGATAAAACTTTGCCTGACCCATCATTATTTTCTTGTTCCTTAAAACTATCATAACCATGGTTTTTGTCACTACCCTCTTCACCTTTACATACATCTCGCTTTCTTTATGGTCCTTCAATATGGCATAGACCAAGAGTACATGCGACCTTGTCAATCATGTAAGAAAATCTTGTCAACAATTTTTATTTGTTTACACATCAGATTCCACTTGATGCAATGCCATTCATTTGGAATTCTCTGTTTAGAAGTCCATTCAAAAATATTGGCCAGTATCATCTGGCAAGTTCACAGTGGATGCCAAGTGGTCGCAAGAATATGTCACTAGTTTGTTTTTATAGTAATTGTGTAAGTATTATAGATATGCATCATATTTTTATAGTCTCTCAGCTTATTGTTATATCCACTTTTAAAAGGTTCATAACATTGGGAAATATAACAATAAAAATCTTCACCTTCGCACAACACGTCTTATATTCCCATAAATAGATAATTTATTTCTATTGAAACAGAATGAAGGAATTTTAAGACCTTGTTTTTATCTTCACATTTATCTTGCCTTACCTCACCAATATGTTTTCTTTAAAAAATCAAGAATTGGAAATGTGATGCAACAGTATCATTGTCTGTGAGGAATCACACATGTTCATATATGATATGTGTTATGGAACAGACAGAAACATGAAGAAAAAAAAAAGATGTAAATTACCAAAGAACTACATTGGTGGTTGATCTGTCGTGATTTTAATTTATAGCCACAAATTAGTAAAAACTCTGTGGTATAAGAGCAAGAAGGATAATCTGTGCACATTTTGAATTGAAGTGTGCTATTAATTTACTTGTAAGAAGATATTTTAGGGTCAATCAGGATAGATGTTATTTTGCATAAAATTGTGTTAAATATAATCATAAAATAGACAGAAAGGAGGTATTACTCGTGCAACTTTTCTTGAATGATGGATGGACGAAATGCAGGTAGAGTGGGGGTATTAGTTAAGAAATTGGCCACTAGCTTTTATGAAGCAATGCCAAGGTCTGGAGAATCTGTCACGCCTTCGTAACGTTCTCAATAATTTGTGTTCTAACTTTATCAGGAGTTCGAGGTATCTCCTGTGATAGATCTTTACCTTCTTCAGTCATTTCTTTAGATTTTTGGGGAAAATAACAGAAGTTCTTGTCTTCAAAAGAGAAAGTGCTTGCTGCGAGCTTTTGCCTTCATCTGTTTATTGTGCCAGAGAGGGGGAAGCAAGGTCATCATTCAAGAAAAGTTGCGCGAGTAATATAAAACACATCAAAATTACTTTTATAGAGTAACAGTAAACATACAAGAGATATTTATAAGAGGAAAGTATGATCTCAAAAGCAATGACAGTTGCTCATAAAACATCTTTCTTCAGAACAAAATATCTTTTTTGTTGTAACATTTGAAGGATTTTAGTACAATTTATGGTAAAATGAAAAACATGGATACGTCTGGACAAATACATTGCGTGCTGCTGCCAATAATGCCAAGGAGAGGAAATACATATTTTTACCCTCTGTAGATGATAAAAAGGTACCGTAGCAGCTTATTATCAAGCATTAAAATGTGTCTTTAAGCTTAGCAATAAAATAAAGTTTGCAGACTACAATAGAAATGGTGAAAGTTTAATATTTAACAATTGGCATAACTTTATATTGATTATAATTGATTCTTGATTAAATTAAATAATATATAATTGAACAAATTTGTGCAAGTTAATTGCAGTGCAAACCCAACAATTCTGTTAAAGGTTGCAAATGGAAATGAAGTTTTTCATTTCCCCTTTGTTCTCCAATACTTCAAAAACAAGTCACCAATAGAAGAAGTGTTGTTTAAAAACACACCTGAAAATGTATTTCTTTTTTTAATTTTATTTGACTCTTCCCCCCTCCCTTTTTTTCCTTCTATTTTCCCACTGAAAAAGATGCTTGCTTACATACAATATACCTCTAAAACCTGAAGAAAGTTGATGGGATTACACAAGTAATGTGTGAAGATGGCTCCTTTTCTGAGATTTCCTATGCTTCTCCTTCTTCTGTGTTAGTATGCCGCCTCCAGGCAAATGTAAATGATCCATGTAATCAAGTTTTTCTTCTGAAATCATGGCACATTGTGGTTGCGCAACATATTACAGGGGTTTCAAGATTATACAGTGCCTCTATCAGCCCACCTTTGCCAACACTTCCTTTGCATTTGTGTAGGCCAGGGCTCCAATACATGAGAATCACCGGGCCCCCGCAGATCACAGATTGGTCAGATGACAGTCGGATACATTCAGGGCCGCTGCCCATGAGCATTTCCGCGACGCGATGGCCACGTGAGCTCCCATGCTCTACGCCGGGAATCGGTACTTGGGCCGCACCTTGCCGCAATTTATCATCGAACATATCTCGCAACAAATTAGGGCTACAGGCTGCCCAGCTAACAATCAATTATCAGTTCACGCTAAGAAACGGATGTAAATAAATACACATGTGTTTGGATGATTCTCATTGGTTTGCAGTATGCACTCTTGACGGTAAAGTAAATAGTTTTCTGCAAAATAATTTTATAGTTATCTGCCATGTTTCGTTACATCAACCTTGCGTCAAAACTATTGCAAAAAAAAGAGCATTGTGAAGTGCATACGTGTGGCTGTGCTATACGATTATTAGCCTCTGACAGTTGTCCACGAATGCGCCGCTGATCGGCCCTGATATTCAGTTCGTTTTACAATGCCCAAGAGAGTGAATGGCCCTTCAGTAATTAAACACACGAGTGGAAAATCGATTCGTTACTGGTGAAGCAAATCGCTGAACCTGCTACAGGTTTCATTGGAATATCCGTTTGCAGCGTACTGAAAGTCAGGAAAGAGCTCACCGTCAAGGTGAGAAACGAACCATCAACGCTTGGAAAATTGTTACAGCTTGTGAACAGTGTTCCAAATTTTTCGTGTATCAATGTATATGAATTATTCACATCCGATTCAAACAAGAGGGAGAAGAAATCTTCTTCAGAACTTGGTTAACTGACATCCTTTTCCCTCCTGAAGCAGACTAATCGTAAGTAAAGTAGTTGCCTAAGTGACAGCTCTTATTCAATTTGAATTGCCGGGTATGCTGGTCGAGTTTTTGAAAGTAGTGCGCTAGAAGTTGAACAAACAGAAGCGTGGTGTGGAGCAAAGATTTCTTCGGTTTGTTTACATCAGGTTTTTCTTTGGGGTGAACGGACAATAGGGCCACAGACTGCGTGTGCTGGCACGCGTTTTTAACGCCTTCACTCGCACATTCGCAGGGCGACCAAATCAGACTACACATGCCTGGTCTTCGCATACGGGAACTCGGAACACCCGCTCATATGGTAGTGTACTACCTTGTGTGAATCCCATCCTCTCCGTATGAAGACTCCAGCCCCGGCAACAATCGGAACGAGTGCACCTGTCCTTGTCTCCGGGGGTGCCGAGCTACGTATGTTATTTGACGAAGGCCACAGCAAGATGACCGAAACGACAGCCCAATTGACTGACGCGGCTCATCCTGGATAGCTAAGAATTGCCGCGGAAGCCTACGAACGCATTGAAAGACATTGTAACATCGCACTTCTGTGATTGTTTTAAAGATTTAGATTAATTCATTTATTGTATTGTTTTTGTACTGTACTACTCTTTTGCATCTCTTCATTAATTAACTTTATTGTTACAAGCGCATTATTAATTTTAAGATTTACAATTAGGAATTTTTTTAATAACTCACCGCTCGGGAGCGGCAATTCATTGTGTGTAAATACTAGGTAGTTTTATAATTATTTTCTCAGTTCTTAGATCGTAAGATTCATTAATTTTATTTTGAAGAGGCATTATTACTATCTTTAGCTTCGATTATTAAATTAATATTTAAGCCAATTTCGCTCCACTTTTATCCTTCGGCCGATCTTGTCATTTCCTCTTACGAGGTAGTGTTCCAGACCTTTATTTTAGTAGCCCTCAGACTACATCGTCGAGCTAGCGGATGCCGATATGTGTGTGTGCTGTGCGTGAATATAGCCAGCAGCAGAGTCCACGCTGTTGGCTCATCATTTTGCGTGGCGGCGTGACAGGTGGGTACGACGTGAGTACCGCGTCTGCACGCACTCGCAGTCACGGACGCACACAATATGAAATAATATACACATTCTAAATTACATAGCATCCAACTGCCTCAATACACTTCTAAAATTATACTGAGAAGCGTAGGATTTTCAGAGGGAGATGCTAAATTTGACACCCAATTACTCCAAAAATACTCATATTTTCGAAAAATTCCACAATATTTGAAAATCGAATTTTGATGAACACATTTCATTAAGAAAAAGAATTGTATCTTCCTAATT